TATGTCAAGTGTTGATCTTCTTATATATCCTAACATCTTACTTGCTTGTGTGCATTGACATTCAACATGTTTTGACCAGGTAAGGTTAGATGTAGTCTACACTCCCAAATCGCGTTCAAAGTCGGTGCTTTCTAAGACATTGTTATGAAGCTTGTAAGGGTATTCTATCTTCTTCTGCTTTCGGGTAATTCTTAGAATTTTGCACTTTTCAGCGTTAAGTTCCAGGTTGATATTGCTGGAGCACACTTCAAAGTTCGTAAGGTCTTCCTGTAGCGAGGATGCATCGGATGTGGAGCTTATGGTTCTGAAGATCTTCGTATCATCCGCAAAGGTGGCGATAGTTGAATTGTTCACGGTGTTGGGGAGGTGGTTTTCGTACAATAGGAACAACAATGGGCCAAGTATCGAACCTTGCGGCACTCCGGATGTTACGGCTAAAGGTCTTGATGTTGCTCCATGAACCGTTGTTTGCTGACGACGATTATCGAGATACGATGAGGACCAGTTCAGGATGTTTCCTCGAAACCCAAATTCGCGTAGTCGATGAAGAAGCTTAGTATGACTTACTTTATCGAATGCCTTCGACATATCTAAATAAACCACGTCTATTTGTTCACCATTGTCCAATTTGCGCCCTATCTGTTCAAATACTTCAATAAGTTGCGTTACGCACGATTTCCTGGCACAAATCCGTGTTGACAAGGGTTGATTTGTTGGAATACTTGATGTTTGATGTTATTAAAGACGCAACGTTCGAGTACTTTAGAGATAAGTGAAAGCAATGCGATTGGTCGATAGTTCTCTACGTAGGATTTCTCACCTCGCTTATGCACAGGTACGACATTAGCTAATTTCCAATCATCAGGAAGAATGCCACAGCGTAATGATTTGTTGAAGAGTGCGCAAAGTGAAGGAGCGATCTGGAACGCAGTTTCTGTCAGTAGTCGCGCAGGAACTGCATCGGGGCCGTGAGCTTTGTTGTTATCCAAATTTCTCAACACAGCCATCACTTCAGCGTTTGTTAATGTTATGTCTTCCGATGTGGTGTCAGTTTCCGTATGTTCTTGTTGTCGTTGGTGATCAATATCGGAGTCATGCGTAAAGATAGAGGCGAAATACGTGTTGAATGTATTTGCAATTTCTACGGTGTTATTGGCAGAAGTTCTTTCAGTGTTGTTCACTTTCATGGAAAATTTTTCTGGAATATTCGATACTTTAATTTTTGTTTTAAAAAATGTCCAAAGACGTTTGGGATTTTGTCCACGAGACGAACAAATTGAGTTGATGTACTTTAGTCGACTTTCACGTAACATTTGCTTGACATTTCTACGTATACTTCGAAAACTTTCTTTAAGGTGTTGACTTGGTGAACAGGATCTTTTTATTCTCATTCTTATGGAGTTTTTCTTCTTGATGTTATAAAGAATCTCACTGTTCATCCATGGGAGATGGTTTCGAGTTTGAAGTTTCTTCGTGGGAACAAAATCCGATACCGCGGCAAGAAACGCATTTTTCCAGTCGAGCCAATCTTGGTTGATATCACCGTCTTTTGATATTAGCTCCGTGAGATTCAGGGAATGAAGATATGACCGAAGACCATCGAAGTCAGCTCGACGGTAGTCAAATACAGTTCTCTTTATCTTTGGAATGGGGTTGCACGTCAGAGAAAGATCGAAAATAACAGCGCTGTGGTCGGTGGAAATTTCTGTATGTGATGGCTTTAAAACTTCACTTACTTTGATACGATCAGGAATACTAGTGATGACAAGGTCGAGAATGTTTTCTCCTCTAGTAGGCGATGTGTTCATTTGCTCAAAGAAAAAGTCGTTTAATACTTTAACAAACGCAAGTTCATTCCCGCCAGTTTCGTTTTCCCGCGAGTTCCAGCACGCGCGCGGTAAATTGAAATCACCAGCAATCACAATTTTCGAATGACGTGCGCAAACATCTTGCAGAAAAGTTTCAAATTTATCCATCCAACTTTTTAAAGCGTCTAGTGGGCGATAACACGAACAATTAAGCATTTTCATGTTAGATGAAGTTGTAATTTCCGCTACTGCAATCTCTAAATCATGATTGTGTTCAATTTCACGCACAGATTTGAATGTAGAAGCCACCACCGCCGCGCGTTTTACGGTCGTTTCTGACAATAGAATATCCTGAATGTAGAATTTCTGCGTTGTAAACATTTGAAGACAGCCAAGTCTCATTAACACAAACAATGTCAAAGTCTTCTGAGTGCACAAAGTTCTGAAAACGCTCGAGATATTGTGTGCTGTATTAATTTTAAAGCTTGCACATAATCCATTAAAACACAAGACTCTCCTTGACAAGTAAAATTGTGCGGTGTCCCAGGATTTTCGTCCCCCCCCTACATTTTCGCCCCCCGGGGGCGAAATTCCTAGGAATATCGCCCCCCCCCAGGGGGGCGAAAATCCTAGAATTTCGATCCCCTTTCGGAAATTCGCCCCCCTTTAGAAACTTCACCTTTTCTTTAGGATTTTCGTCCTCCGTTCAATATTTCGCCCTTCCTAACAGTTGCATGGGATAATTATTACATGGCTTTAATCATTTGAAATCAATATCAATTCAAAATTGTTAAGACAGAGCTTGAAATAACAACCGATCACCGATCAATGATCGGCAAGGAATTGCTTATGATCGGCGGAAAAGCAGGGTTTCGGTTTCCAACCTGAAAAAAGCAGGGAAAGTCATGACTGCCGATCACCATGATCGTGAACTTTGGGAACGTTTATTATTTCAAGCCCTGCATGTAAGAATACAAATTTACAATTACATGTATCGAAAGGGCTTACACAGTTACACTAGATCAATAGGACTTATGACGCTTCACAGCACACCA